TCAATAATATGTGGGAGGCTGACATGAGAGGACAACATGTGAACGAGACGGCTAACGAGTAAGTGAGCCGCACAGTTTGAGCACAGGGCACAGGCGCTGGCGTTATGTCGATGCTGGAAACAGTGTCAGCAAATGAAGGTGTTGGAGTCGGTGGACCACAGTGGGACCCTGACCCTGTGGGCTGGTCCCCTACCGACTTGCCAAAATGGCAGACTGAGCAGTCAGAGTAGGTTCACAAGTAGAGGAGGGGCGCGTACAACTAGTTTTGCCATGCCTGACATCGGCGGTGCGGAATGATAAACTTGATGAGGCCGGTGCATGTAGAATGGCAGGCCTGTGTTGCGTCAGGCCTGCTTGTAGAGCGCATGGCCTGATGCTGCAAGCTGCTGGAACTTCCTCCCCCTCCACCCCAATTCCATTCACATGAATCCTCATCCCCTAAAGTAACGTAAATTAGGCCGGCAGAAAAATACGGGATTGAGTTTTTTTTATATTAAAAAAAATGCAGCAGTGTGAGCACAGAGTCTGGTACACCAGCAAGCAGCACCGACGGGCGGGATCCGGGAGGGAGCAGGGGCGGTTCTCGCTGCAGGAGGCAATCGACGAATACACACGCATCCGCAAGCGGACACACAGAAACGCACCGTTCACCAGCCAGCAGCGAGGGACGACCCCCTCCTCCTCCCCCTCCTCCTCCTCCTCCTCCTCCTCCTCCTCCTCCTCCTTCTCCTCCTCCTCCTCCTCCTCATCCTCCTCCCCCTCCTCCTCCTCCTCCTCCTCCTCCTCCTCCTCCTCCTCCTCCTCCTCCTCCTCCTCCTCCTCCTCCTCCTCCCCTAGGGGGGAGGAAAGGCCGACAGCCAACAAAAGGAGCAGGAAGGGCGAGAGGAGCGGAAGACACGAGACGACGACGATGACGAACGAAGGGAACAGCAGCAGGAGGGACCGTGCACAGTGAGCTTCGCAATCCTAACTGGTTGGAGCCTCATGCCGTACAGGAAAGTTGGAGAAGATGTGCTTGAGAGCAGAAAAGCGTAAACAGATAAGTGTTGTCAAGTTTGGGGTCGGGTTGTGCGGAAGAAACAATTTGATAAGGCTGGGGCATGTCGAATGGCTGGCCTACGTTGTATCAGTCTGACCTATAGAGCCACTGGCCTGGTATTGCAAGCTGCTTGAAGCCCATCATCCGCCTCCCACATGTAAGCCTCTAATCACCACCATCTGTTGTTGCGAGAAAAATGTGCACACTGAGAGGATGGGGCAATCTGATGAGTGGTCTCAGCTGGCATTTTCACGGGCTGGCCCAGACGGTGATGGTTGGTCCTGCTGTCGAAAGCTGGGTTTGGCTCAAAGCTGTATGAGTCTCGCGGACCGTAATACTAGCTAAGCTAATGCAAGTGTGGCAATTCTTGGGTTGGTGCCCGTTTTTTCGGTTCCTTCGGGGGGGGGGGGGGCTTCACCGTTCCAGTTTCGGGGGGGTGGGGGGGCGGGGCGTAATTGGGGCCACCAGTGAGGCTCTTGCCTCCCGCCTTTAGTTGCACGTGCACCTCTCAACCATGCAAAGAAAATTAAACAGACCTCCCTCGAGGCTTCCACGAAGGCATAGAAAGCTGTGCCCCAAGAGCGCAATACCCCCCCCCCCCCCCCCAAAGAATAACGCCAAGCCCTCCTGGCATGCCACCCCCAGAAGGGGTCAGGTTCCATGAAGCAGTGATGACGGGGCTGGAATAAATAGTGCGTGGCAAGTGACGTGCACAAAACAAGAAAAAGGTGGTTGCAGAGCTGCAGCAACGTGTAAGCGGATCAAGAGTAGTGCGATACGCTCATAATGTTGGGCAAAGCCAAACGCACAGCGAGAGCGTAAGTTGAATGACGGGGAGCCAGCCAACATAGAGACACTGGGTGCCAGCAAAGTGTGTCAGGAGATATGCAAATCAGTAGTCCTGGTACTGGAGGTACGCAGGCCAGGAGCAGAAAGCACGTTGCAGAACCATACGGGCAGATCGGGCGGGTAGGCCCTACCGGGCGGGTCGAGAAGGCGGGCCCACGCGGCCACGTCAAGACGGCGGGTTGCTGAAGCGTGCGTCTTGAATGAATCGCGAGGAAGTCTCGGGCGATAGCGCGAGTCCCCATTGAACTGCGAGAAACACAAAGAGAGCGCGAATCCTGAGCGTCGAGAGCGCGGCGTCTGAATAAATTACGAGGACGTCCAACGCGAGAACGCGATTCTTGCATGCATTGTGAGGAGATCCCGCGCGAGAGCGCGATTTGGGAAGAGCTTGTGGGAAAGTATCCGGCGGGAGCCGTCGTTGTTGTAAACCAGGGGCCAGGGGCGCAGTTTGGTGACCCCACACTGTCCCTTGTAATTCTTAATATAAAAAATAGGGTGCGAGTCGGAATGATCACTTCAAGTGAAAATGCACCACTGGTCACCGGAGGGGACTGTTCGTTCTTGCTTGCTGGCGTGCCATTCAACACGTATATCCCAAACCCTCGGTTTCCGCCCTCTTCGTCTTCGATCGTACCCCCATGTGGGCATATCTTCTTTCACTGTCGCGTGTAATTGGCGCAGTCCCTGAAAAAAAAGGGGAAAGAAGGACGGATGGAAGGGGGACGGAGAAGGACGGAACACGGGACGTGCAGGAAGGGGGCCAGGAACAGAAAGCACGTGGCAGAACCAGACGGGTTCAGCGGGAGGGCAGACCCTAACGGACGTGTCGGGAAGGCAGGCCCACGCGGCAAGGCCGAGAAGGCGTGTTGTTGAAGCGTGAGTACTGCATGAATTGCGAGAAGAGCTCGAAAATAGCGCAATTTCCAAACACATCACGAGACAGGACAAAGCGAGAACGTGTTTCCGGAGCGTCGAGGGCGCGGCGTTTGAGTATTTTAACGGGAAGTCCGCGCGAGAACGCGATTAAGGGATGCACTGTCAGGAAGTATCCGGCGGGAGCCGTTGTTGTTGTTGTTGTTGTTGTTGTTGTTCTTGTATTCCGGGGCCCAACAACCTAATTTGGTGACACCAAGCTTTCCCGTGTAGAAACATGGGTGCGAGCCCCGAGGCGGGGCACTTAAGCTGAACATTCAATGACTACCAGAAGGGGGGATCAACAATACTTATTTGTTAGACATGAAAATACAACGACAACGTCAAAAACAACATGAACAATGATTTTAATCTTTCCTGCTCGCGTGCCACTCAAGAAACATACCCCAACCTTCGGTACCCGCCCTCTTCGTCTTCGATCGTACCCCCGTCGGGGTGTATCCCTCTTACCTGCAACGTGTGTATTTCGTGCAGCCCTTTAGGCAGGGATAGAAAGGACGGATGGAAGGAAAGGACAAGGAGGAGGGAGGAAGATAGAGCACGAGAGAACGTAGCAGGAGAGGAAGTCAGGAGCAGAAAACACGTGGCAAGAGCAGACGGGCAGATCGGGCGGGTAGACCCTAACGGGCGGGTCGGGAAGGCGGGCATAGACGGCCAGGTCGAGCAGGCGGATTGCTAAAACGTGCGCACTGCATGAGTCGCGAGGAAGTCTCGAGCGATGGGCGATCACCCAAAACAGTTTGAGGAAGTCCGGAGCGAGAGCGTGATTCCTGAGTGTCGAGGGCGTGGCGTCTGAATACGTGGCAAGGATGTCCCACGCGAAAGCGTGTCGGGGGAGGACAGAACCCCCAACAGTGACACGTCGATTAGTGAATTGTCCGTTTTCGGTTCTCGAGAGGGCGCCGTGGCCGTCAGTTTCCAGGCTTGCGCCCGCCAGATTTGGGCCCGAGGTCGTTTTCACTAAACCACGTTTTGCTAAAGGGGGTTCTGTCCATCCCCGAGTGGCGTCTGAATACGTGGCAAGGATGTCCCACGCGAAAGCGTGACTCCTGCAACAAATCTTGAGGAAGTCCCTCGCGAGAGCCCGATTTGGGAATACACTTGTGGGGAAATAGTATCAAGTGGGAGCCGTTGTGGTTGTTGTTGTTGTTGTTCTTGGTAGTGGTGTGTGTTTGCTGCTGTTGTTGCTGTTGTTGTAAGCCGGGGGCGAGGGGCACAGTTTGAGCAGGAAGATTTCCCAGGATAACGTCTGCGTGAGTCCTGCAAAATTCGCCAGGAAGTCCCAGGCGAGAGCGCGATTTCTGAGTCAAGTATGAGAAAGTCCCAGGCGAGAGCGCGATTCCTCAATGGCGAAAGCGTGGCGCCTGAATACATTGCAAGGAAGTCGGATGCGAGAGCGCGATCCTTGTACAGATTGCAAGGAAGTCCCTGGCGAGAGCGCGATGCTTCAGTAACTTATGAGGAAGTATCAGGTGGGAGCCGTTGTGGTTGTTGTTGTTGTTGTTGTTGTTGTTGTTGGTGTTGGTGTTGGTGTTGGTGTTGGTGTTGGTGTTGGTGTTGTTGTTGTTGTTGGTGTTGGTGTTGGTGTTGGTGTTGTTGTTGTTGTTGTTGTTGTTGTTGTTGTTGTTGTTGTTGTTGTTGTTGTTGCCGCTGCTGTTGTTGTTGTTGCAAACCGGGGGGGCAGGGGCACAGTTCGAGGACAGCCGCGCACTCAGGGACGGTGAACAGTTGCTCGGCCCCCACACTCTGATCAAGGTAATCGTTTAGTTTTCTACGGTTGCCGCCAGAGCGCAGGACGTTGAGTGTTTCTGGGGGGCAGGATGGGCATGTGCGGGCGACGCTGGTGCTCTTTGACTTTTGGAGCCTCAGGGAACCTCTGGCGCTACGTACAGTCGAGATGCCGAGGTACGAGTCGGTTGAGTCAGTTTGGGCTCAGCAGGGGTTTCAGTTTTCTGGCCATTCCCTAGATCTGGGTCGGGGTGCCTATCCGCGGCCGAGGCTCGCCGTGGCCAGGAAGGCCCCCTCGTGCCGTCGTTTTGCACTCCTGATGGTCGCACGGTGACTGCATCCAGGGAGCACCAGAGACCCACAGCGACCTCCAGAGCCGAGGGGGCGGAGCCGCCCGCAGCCGGGCGTCCAGCCTGGCATTGCGACGCCGCCGCTCGGCCCTCTCCGCCAGGCGAGCTCTGCGGACTCCAACGCGAAGAGGAAGAAGGCGCTGCAGAAAAAGATGCGGCAGATTGAAGAGCTAGAGGATCCCCAGACTCCAAAGCGCAGCCTCCACCGTTCTGCCATCACCCGCTCTGCCCCCCCCCCTCCTCTCCGCTCCCATCCCCTCTCCTACACTCGCCTCCCCTCCCTCCCCGCCTATTCCTTCCACCGACGCCGCATCTCCCCCCTGCCCCCTCGACGTCGATTCTGACTCGTCCTCTGTCCCATCTATTGATCCCCCTTCGCTTCACTTTCCAGGGCCCTCTCCTCGGGGAATGTGAGGAAGGAGGGAAAAGAGGAGAACGGAGGGAGAGGAGTTGGAGGGAAGGATGAGGCCAGAAGGAGGAGGAGGAGGTACCCAGACATCTGACGGCATTATTTTTCGAGACAATGACACCTGGTCCTGATTCTTGCCAAGGGGCCGGTTTTCCATCCCGAGTCGTTCTGTGACGTCTCGGGCCCAGAAACGAATTCTAAGAGGCTAAGATGGTAAAACGTTGACCGCCTCGATTCGTGTCAAGACGTCGGAGGTTTTTGAGGAGAAGGATAACGCCAGAGGGGTTAGCGCCGACCCAAGACAATCGCGCAAACTTCCTCCAACGGCTCTGTTTGTATTGTGTCTTGATACGCGCCATTCTCCGCCGCATCCACTTTCTCCTTCTCTCTCGGATTCCCTCGCCCCCTCAGCCGCTCTTGCCCTCTTCCTCCTCCTCCTTCTCTTCGTCTTAGGTCCTTGTTCGTCCCCGATCCCCCCGTCCTCGCCCTCCTCGCCTTCCATTACCTCTCCACTCGACAGGTCGCCCTCCTCCCACCTACCCACCCGTTCCTCTGGCTTGCCGCGCGGATGCGGGCTGCGGGCCCGGGGCAGCAGGGAGTGCGACCAGCCAGGCAGGAGGAACGCGGCCGGAGGGCTCAGAAGAAGCAACAGGGCGGGACGCTGGGGGGGGGTCCGGGGGTCCTTGCTGCGGCCCGGAGGAGGCGCCAGAGGAGGGGGCGGAAGAGGACGAGACAGGAGGACGAGGCGGCCTGCTGGAGGAGGAGGAGGAGGAGGAGGAGGAGGAGGAGGAGGAGGAGGAGGAGGAGCCCGAGGAGGAGGACGAGGAGGAGCCAGAGGAGGAGGACAATACAGGAGGACAAGGCGGCCTGGGGGAGGAGGAGGAGGAGGAGGAGGAGGAGGAGGAGGAGGAGGAGGAGGAGGAGGCGGCGGCAGAGCAGGAGGAGGCCGCACCCGTCCCTCCTCCAACGGCGGGCCAGGAGCGCCAGAAGAAGGGCCAGGCTCTGGACGCCGAGCAGACGGCGAAGCTCTCCACCAAGGCCTCCGTCCAGGCGGAGATCGACCAGCTCTGAGGCGAAGCGCTGGGTCGCGCGGCGCGGGGCCCAGGCGGTGCGCGCCTCTCTCTTGCGTATCGGCGGCACGCCCGGCCGGCCCCGGTCGGCCACGCGCAGAGGGGGGCGGGGAGAGGGGGGAGGGCCTCTATATATATATATATATATATATAATATATATATATATATATACAGAAGCGCCCCTGCTTCTTGGAGGGCGCGGGCCTTCCCTGTGCGCGTCAGGCCCGCGCCTTCCAAGGAGCAGCCCCCTTCTGAGAGGCCTCCCCCCCTCCCCCCCTAATGGCCCCCCCCCTCCTGCGCGCCGCCAGCGCGTGGCGCCGGGCCCAGGCGGCGCGCCTCTCTCTGCTTGCGCCGCGGGGCACGCCCGCGGCCCCGGGGCGAGCAGCCGGCGGGAGGCGGCCCAGGCCCGGCCGGTGGCCGGCGAGCACGGCGGGGGGGTCGGGGGCGGCAGAGAGGGGGGTGATGGCGAGGGGGGGGGCGCAGGGCCCGCGCGGGGCTCGAGCCTGGCCCGCCTCGCTGGCCCGCGCACGGCCGCCGGACGAAAGGGGGGGATTGGGAAAGGGGGGGGGGGTCGGCGGGGGGGGCGGGGAGCACGGCGGGGGGGGGTCGGGGGTTGGACTCCCCTGGGGGGCTGCAAAAGCGTGCGACCGCAGAACCAGGGCTCCCGTGGTGCAGATTGAGGCAAACTGTTGCCAACAGTTTGCCTCAAACTGTTGCCAACAGATTGAGGCAAACTGTTGCAAACAGTTGGCAAACTGTTGCCAACAGTTTGCCAACTGTTTGCCAACTGGTGCTCCCGTGGCTCCCGACTCGGGGGCGGCAAAGAGGGGGGGGGATGACTAGTTTTATACCGCTGCATCACTACGAAATTGATTTACCCAAGAATTGAAACGCCAAGTAAAATTTTACTTGATTTTCTGTAATTGCGCGGGTCATAGGGGGGTAGGCTGAGTGGACGGGTGCAGGGGCATTCCAATGTTCGACCCGTACGACACTGCGATAATGATACACACGCCCAGCATGCGTAGCCAGTTCGGGGTCGGCTTCTGTTTTGCGTTGTCGGCCCTCGCCGCGCTCCCAGCTACAGGCCGCATGCATCGCCACCACTGGTGCGCGGGTCGTGGAGCAGGACAAGAACTGCGAAAGGCGACTCAAGGGTGGGCGAATCCTACCCACCCGCAATGTCACGGAATCTGCGCCGCAGGTTCTGAATTGCAAGTGGCGGGGCCCGCCCACAGACAACGTGAAACGCGACCGCGACGGACGCGGTCGCCCACCGTGCAATCAAAGGTGGTGCCACCAGGAAAGTTGGCCCACTAACGCGGTTAAGGCGCCCCAAGCCATAAGACGTCAAGCCATCATCCTTTCCCGGCATCCTTGGCTGCTGCCTCGGCCGTCCAAGGGTGCCCTTGGCGGCGCATTCATCCTTGCCGTTTGGGGTTGAAGCCCGTTGCACGGCGGCGTCGCAGGGATGGGGGAGGCAAGGGTACCCTTGGGGATCCCTCCGTATCCTTGCCCATGTTCTCGTTTGGGCGGGCGCATCCCCGCGCGTTTCTTGCCGCGTAATGGCGTTGCACGGCCCCTTGGGCATCCTTGCAGATTTTTGGGTTGTCGCCTTCTCCCCGATCTTGGGTCAGTTTTGACCCGGCAACGGTATATCTTCATGTTCCCCACGCCCCCTTCTTCGCCTCCCCCCTCCTCCCCCGCGGGAGCTTGTCACCCGCTGCTCTTCTGAGGCGCCCTTGGCCCATGATGGCATCCAGATTCAAAAATGCACCATTGGTTTTCCTCAAGCGATTTCCGTGGTGACACGTGTCACCTGCTTTTCTTCTGGAGATTCCCTGGCTCATGTTGGCGCCGAGAATCAAACGATTACGTTTGGTTTTCTCCAAGCGGTTTCCGCGGTGACACGTATCGCCCGTTGCTTTTCAGAGGCTTCCTTGGATCATGGCGGCGTCCAGAATCAAAAATGTACCGCTGGCTTTCTCTAGCGGTTTCCTCGGTGACACGTGTCGCGAGTTGCCTTTCTGATGCTTCCTTGGTTCATGTTGGCGCCCAGTCAAAAATGCACAGTTGGTTTTCTCCACGGGGCTTCCGCCGTGGCACGTGCCATCCAGACGGTCACATCCAGTTCGTCGTTTGATGTCGCGTTTGCCTGTCATACCTTTTCTCCCGTGACACTTTTCCACGCTAGTCGGCGGCGTGCGGTTAACAGCTTTTCAGTAAGTAACCTTTGTCGATGTTCCTGTTCCCTGCTCCTCCCCTTCCGCCAGCGAGCAGCTCACCAGAAGAGATCTTATAACAAATTGTGTGCGCATGCTTTCCACGCCACGCTACCCCAGCCCATGTCGTACTCAACGGGATCCTGCCCTCCATTTTCGCTGGAGGCACTAGGTTCTATTACATCCAATTTTAGTTAGACACTACGCTGGCTTCGTTTTTTGCATATTTAGAGCGTTGAAAATCTACTCTGCACTAACGTGCCTTACCGCGCCCTTTCCAACCCCTACTCCTACACATGCTGTGATCAAGGTCAACCGCATCTCTGCAACTATCCTGCGCCGTACGATTCGTAGCATTCGCGTGGTCCGCAAACCTACCCCGCAGCTCATCCCACCTCACCCTGGCATATTCAAACGCCAGCCAGACGCTATCCACATGTAGCGGTGGTGCAAAGGGCGGCAAGACCGAGTTCGACGCGGGCGTCTCCTCAGGGTTCGACGCGTAGATTTCGTAACACACGCGGCCGCCATGGCGGCGTCCACGACGCAAATGTCACCGCGGTAGCACAGCGCAACTCAACGCCCAATCCGCATGCGCAGACCACGTGCACATTTCCTGCCCAATCTATCCAACGCCCGCTCCCCCCATCAGGCTTTGCTCTACACGGGCTCCTGCAATTAATCACAACTCTTGTGTACCAGTGCACTATACCTCCTTACCTTGTCCAATGCACAGCCAGCGCTGCTCTTCTTCGTTTGCCGCGACTGTTAAGGCGTCGTTGCTATTTTGATGTGGATCGCCATATGCTTTAATGTATTCATCATACGCGAACTTTACGGCGCGCCTGCATCGCGCAATTTTAGCCCCCCCGCCGCTCCCCCTCCCGCCCCTACCGCCACCCCTCATCCCACCCGACCCCGCTCCATCGCGACCCCGCTCTGTTCGCGCCCCCCCCCCCCCCGCGCCCGCGCGCAGCGCCCGTGCACAGCAGCGCCCGCGCGTGGCATCCGTGCGCGAATGTCCATGCGCCACGTCGGTGTGCCACGCGCGCGCGCGACGCCTACGCACAAGTCCCGCGCGCCGCGTCCGCGCCACAACGCTGCGCCCTTCCCATGGTTCATGGCCACTTATGGAATTGCACCCAAGGCCCCAGTAGAGACGCTTACATGCGTCCGCGCCGCGCATCATGCCGCGCCCTCGCACGGACCGTGGCCACTTAGGGGGTTCCATCTGAGCCCCCTGTGGCGACGTGGACATGCGTCCGCGCCACCGATTACGGCGCGCCCCATCGCGCGGTTCGCGGCCCCACACGGTGCTCCACTTAAAGCGCCCGCGGCGACGGTCGCACGCTCCTGGGCCACCCATCGCGGCGCGCCCTCGCGCGGTTCGTGGCCCCAGAAGGATCTCAACGAAAAGCTGCCCAACCATTGCGACGCTCTCCATCACGCGGCCCGTCGCCTCAGAAAGAGTTCCACCCAAGGCCCCAGTGGCGAAGTTCGCACGCGCGCGCAACCCATTGCGGCGCACCCCTCGCACGGTCCGTGGCTGCATCGGGGTTTTCACTTGAGACGGCGTCGTACAAGCGTCCGTGCCGCCCATTGCGGCACGCCCCATCACGCGGCCCGTGGCCACATGAGGAGCTCCACATAAAGTCCAAATGGCGACCTTTGCCCGCGCCATTCGCGGGCCCATATGGAGCTCCAAGCGACGTGTACTGCGTTTGGCCGCCTATGACGGCACGTGCACGCGCGGTTGCGCCGCCCATGGCGCTTGCGCCGCCCATGGCCCGCCCACCCGCCCAGAGACCCCCGCCCAGCTCCACCCCCGCCACCACCAACCCACCACGACCACCGCCACCCCCACGCACGCCCCCCCCCCCCCCACACACACCACCACCGCCACCACCAACCGTCAACCACCACCACACAAACACGACACACACACACACACGACCGGCACCACAGACACACACACACCACGCACCACACACATCACGGCGCATCTATCGCACGGTTCGTGGCCCCATAGGGAGCCCCACCGAACGCCCCAGTGACACGCGCATTTGCGCGTCCACAATCGCGGTCCTCGCCATTGCACACGATTGAGCTCATGCCCAAGATACAGTCGGAGTCCATTAGTAGGTCGGGCCTGCCAAATCAAGGGTACTCTCGTGTCCTGTGCATCGCGCTTCGTGTCCTCTGCATTCCCCGGGCAAGGGTGCCCTTTTCTCCTGTGCTTTCCGCGGGTGTCGGCGGCTTGGCCCGCGGCGTTCTGGGCGCGTCGCGCCTCGGGGAGGTCGCGGCCCTGGTCAAGGGTACCCTTGTGTCCTCTCAGATTTGGGGGTTCGGTTCGCTTCGATGTAAGATTGCGGTTTCAGCGCCGCGCCGCCGGCGCCGCGGCGAAGGGTATACTCTGCGATGTCCTCTGAGTGCGGCCGCACCGCCAGTGAACCAACGACGCGTTCACTCGAGGTCGCCCCCGCGCAGCAGGGTACTCCTGTGTCCTGTACTTGCCCAGCCCTGCAAGTTCATTCATCGTCGCGTTCGGGCAGGTCGCGGGGCGCGCAAAGGATACCCTGCCGTCCTGTGCATTGGCTTCTCTTCGGCGGGCTCCTGGGAACAGCAGTGGAGGCGCGCTTTTGGCGGAGTCACGCGGGCGCTCAGCCTAAGTCTCATAGAGCGCTCTGTATATTGTTCCGAATCGAGAAGACGCCGTGTTGGCTTGCAAGCTAGCGCGCGCGCGCGGACGCGCGCTGGCGCGCGCGTGAGGAGTTCTGT